CTTTTAACTTTTTATTTAAAAAAACTCTTTTTAATGCTTTTATTTTGTGATCGCCATTATAAGTTCCGGAAGTTTGCGCTTTTGCTAATGGAGGGATGTCGATATTACATGAATACCCCTTTAGGACCCCGACCAATCTATTTTATAACGGTTCATTTATTTTTTTTTATTATTATTAGATATTTTATTATTTTTATAATGATTCAAGTTTTAAAATGCCCCCTTTTATTTTTAATTTTTTAGTATAATATTTTTTTATTTTTCCTTGTATAATCCATCTTGCATGGAAAACATCCTAGTTATTTTCTTAGCGTCTTCCCAAAATTAGGTGCATTCCTGTCCTTTTCTTTAAAAAAAACATATACCATATATTTATCATGGGGTTCTACTTTTAATATATCAAATGGGGGACTTCAAATATTATATGCTAAATTTTGTAAAATAATACTGCATGTACTAAAATAATTGGTTTTTTATTTTAAATTTATTTTTAATTAATTGTTATTTTTTATTTTTTAAATTAAATAAATATTTTTCTCTTACTTTAATCATTTCATTATTTATTCATTTTAATTAATTATCCAATTATAAAAAATTTACTTTATATTTTATTTTTTAAAAGATATTATAAATAAATATTAATAGTCTTTAAATTTTAATTAAAAAATAACAGTTATTTTAAAGTAAAGAAAATATAAAAAGATTTAAAATCATCACAACATAACACGTTGAATAAGAAATTTGAATTTTATTTCATTAGGATGAAGTCAAATCAAATACAGCCATTTTAACACGATGAAAATTTATTTACAATAATCAAATTCATGGGCCTGATCCACACGCAAGCACAGCCCAGCCTGCTGCATAAAAACCAAAACAAAATGGCCAGTACAAGTGCAAAACCATTTGGGTCAGCGCATGGCCCATTAAGCATACTAAGATCTAACAATATAGGCCCAGGAGATAAAAGGTAAATTTGCTAAGGCCTCCCCCTCTTTATAACAATCTACATGAATAGCACTACGCAGATTGAAAACCCAGGCATAAAGAAGGGATTTGGATATTGTGGCAGTACATTTGACATTCTTCTTTACCACATATTTGAAATTTTGAGACTCGATGAAATTCAGTAGAAGGAAAATATAATGAACAAAATCTACAAGTTGGGCAACATGATAATCCCACTTAGGAGCGTAATCTAATCTCCCAATTGCGATAATGGGAATTCTACTTCGTCGAATCACCACAACAATGCGTTATTGGCTATTGAGATTAGCAGAGTTGGAAATACTTTCCTTCTGCATAGCTATCCCGAACTCCAATGAGGCATGTTTTCCATTGCTTCATTTGAAACTTTTGTTTCTAACTCCTGATGATATAGGGATGTTAACAAGCTCAATAATGGTGTTTCATCACACCATTAGTGATTGCTGTCATACTTTAGTTACAAGCATCCATCCCCAGTAGGAGTTAAAAACGTAGAGCATCATTTGGTATCACCATAAAAAAAGAAAAAAAAAATTGAAAAATCAAGAAAAAAAAAAAAGACACTGAAAACTCAAAATGCCAGGAAAGTTAAAACTGGCAATTCAAGTTCCCAAATCCAAAAAAAGAATAAAAAATTGATTCTGTTTTTGTTTTGAAGAGAAATTATAATGAATGAATAGAAATCTTTAATTGAAATGCAAATTATAAAGGTACTTTCAATGATTAGAGCATAAAACAATTTAAAAATCATAATATATGTACCAAAAGGCATGAAAATATAAATATTATTTTGTTCATAGACTATCTTAATACTCATTTTTATTTGTTTACTGATACTTATATAATAGAAGTAATTCCATCTGATGTATTATTTACTATTAAATAATTATTTGCATCAAATAACTAGACTTCAATATTCATCTTATTATGTGCAGATATATAAATTCATGACTAAAATACTCTGAAACCTATAAGTATATATATATTTTTTTAAAAGCAGGTAATATAACCAAAGTATTAAACATAGAAAAAACAAACAAATTTTTAAAAAGATAGAATATCTGATAGTATAAAAATAATGTAAAGCCTTTTGCATACTTGTTGCCAGGAAACATCTTTACTAGTTTCCAAAGACAGTTGCAAGAAGTTATTATTTGTTAATTTTCTAACAATAATTAACAACAAAAATGTTTTCCAACCATATTCATTTCTGAAATAAAAAAAAAAGAAAGAAAAAATAGAATTGTTTGAAAGAGTCCCCTGTTTTGCAGTCCGGACTGCACTGGACTGCAAAATAGGGACGGTTGGATGGGAGGAGGGCCCCAATATCAGGGGACCCGCCCATTATCCAATGATCACTGTTGTGCAGTCTGGTACAGTCCAGACTGCACAATAGGTTTTTGGTGTTTTGAAAATAAGATAAAATACAAAAAAGTTAAAAGGTTAAAAACCCAAAAACCAGTGATAACAAAGAAAAAAAAAATCAGAAAAAGGATAAAAACTGTCAGGCCTTCTGGCCTTCTGGCCTTCTTGATCCAAAAAAACTGTGATACCAAATAGACATCAAGTTTCAAATGAGATTAGAAGAATATACCTGCCATGTAGTTAAAGGTAGATTTGCCAAGGAAAACACTCCAATCTCTACTAATCCCAGCAACTAAGAACTTCATCATCGTGGCAATCCAACAGGTAGTCAATCCCAAGGTCACTCGCTGGGAAATTGACTACAACTCCTTAGTGGAGACTAACCAGTTGCTAACCCTGTAGACTGGTCCATCCATTTCCACAATTGAACTTCATGTTGCCTACTCTTCTCAAATATGTGATAACAAAGAATATCATTTACACTTCCACAATAGACAAACATCCTTCTCACAGTCAAGTTTTTCAATCCACAAAGTGCATACCAGTAGGTTATCATAAAGAGATGATGCCTTAAGGGGTTACTTAATCTCCCAAACTCTTATTGTTAAATCTTAGTTAACCATATCATTAGCCATGCTTGCTGAGATTCTGATTGTTAAATCTTAATCACATAGTCACATTATTTGCCATGCATGCTGAAATTCTGATTGTTAAATCCTAATTATTCGCAACCATATATAGACACTATTTGCCATGCATGCTGAGATTCAACTTACTCTGTGTTGTATGTGTGTCCGTGAAGTTGTTAGTATAAAATTTAATGCAAAAAGAAAAAAAAAAAAAAAAAATCCACGTCGGGCCAAGTACAAAAAGATCCACTTGGTTCTATATATTCCTCCCTCCATAAACAAGATGAATTGCACAAATAAACCAAACCAACTGAACTCACATGTAATCAAATCAAAACAAAAATAATTAAAATGAATCATCCAAAGCAAACTAAAATAATTAAATTTGAAACCAAATCTACTAATACAAAACCAATATTCAACCTAATACCATTACATAAACAAACATGTCATCAAATAAAGTCGAGCATAACAATGGAACACAATAAATTTTGGTGTATGATTAAATCAGGTTTAGTTGACTACAGCCGTGATGTTTTAGGACCCAAGAATGAGGTCCAGTTAGAATAAATATGAACATACAGGAAAAAAAGTCACAGGATACTAACTGTTCTGCATTGCATGGTGTGTAAAAAAACTAATATGGAGAAAATTGAAGAGAGCAACTAACGCTACGAAATCATTAACCCAAAATAATATATTCATAATCTGATAAATCATAGACATAATATGCAATTTAGCACCAAACGAACTGAGTTATCATTATCTGAAAACTTCTAAGATGATAGTTTCCAATAATTTTTCTTCAAATTTTAAGGGAACAAAAGTAATTTCAAGGTTACCTCATCAAATAAATAATAGAACTCCAGGATCAGAAAACCCTAATAATTTCCGGTGCACCTAATACGTAAAACCAGCGACAGGCATCGAATGGAAAGAATTGTTGATATCGAGAAGTACTGAATTCCTAAAAACCGAAACCCTACCTTAGGATTCATCAGCAAATACCCAAGAGCAACGACAAAAATAAATTCGGAAACCAATCGCGGATGCTAACAAACCCTTAAATTCTCGAACCAAGAAATAAAAAAAAAAATTACCACAACGCAGGCCGCCGAGAGGGCGAGGGTTGAGGTTTGGAAGAGATGATCGGAGAGAGAGCCGCCGGCAGTTTTCACAGCGAAGAGAAAGAGGGAGAGCTGCGAAAGAAAAGGGCAAAACCCTATTTTTAGCCCCTCATCTTGTTAAGTTTGAAGGTTTTAGCCCCTCACCTTATAGTATAGCATTTTTAACCCCTCACCTTACTAAATTTATAAGTTTTAACTCATCATTTTATATTAAGATACTTTTAACCCCTCAACTATTAAAATTGAAGAAAATAACCATCATTTTGTAACATTTTGTTAGTTTTATTAGTTTATTGTTAACTCTATTAACTGATTATTAGTTGACTATTAGCTATTAAAAATATTTTTTCAACTAATAGAATTAACAAAACTAATTTTATAATATTTCATTAATTTTGTTAATTGACTATTAGTGAACTGTTAGTTAATAAAAATCCACTTTTAGCTCACAGAATTAACAGTCAGTTTAAACTAAGGGTTATTGTCTTCAATTTTAATAGATAAAAGGTTAAAACTTATAAATCTAGTAAGTTAAGAGGTTAAAAGTATCATAATATAAGGTGAAGGGCTAAAACCTTCAAATTTGATAAGGTAAGGGGCTAAAAGTGGATTTTTGCCGAAGAAAAGAACGAAGCCATCTTAGTTACCGTTGGAGGTCGGCAGTCATTGGTTGGGCTTATATTGGCTGACCCATGGTCCACCCTGAGCTGTTACATTTTGGGCCTAGAAGGTTTGAGCCTCAGGCCCAAGTCATGCTACGGACTTCATATTTAAAAGGTCTTAGTTTACGGGCTAAGACAAGCAGAATTTACAATTTGGGCCTTAAAGGCTTGAACCCCAGGCCCAAGTCATGCCGTTCGAGTTCGAATGTTAGACGGACTTAATATTAAAAGGTCTTAGTTTTGGGGGCTAAAACAAGCAGAATTTATAACTTTGAGGGCTCATCATGGGTTTTTCTCTTTGTTATTTCCGGCACGAATTCCACCGTCATCTCCGACTCCGAACAACTTAAGCTCCTGTTCTTGGCTGTGAATCAAAGTTTGATCTTGTTCATCTTTTCCAATTTATTCATCTTTGAAATTTCAATTTCAATCCATTTCTTTCAATTTTTTCCCTAAACCATATCGTGTCTTTGGTTAATGTATAAACCTTAAAATCCTTATACTTTTTCAATGATCCCTTTGCAGTTTGAAGGTTATAATGCGATGTCTTTTGTTTCTGATTGTCCTTATTTGTTCATAAATTTGATGGATTGGAAGCAAAAAAGAAGAGAAAGAATGCCATCTCTCCAAACAGCTTTGCCTCCTGAGCTAACTAACAATGAGATTAGAGTAAGTATCAATTCTTTCCTGCAATTTGATTGATTATACAGAACACATTGCGTTTGATTCCTGATGCTTTTTCTTTTTTTCGAATCTTATGTTAACACTTGAAGCTTTACCGGGAGTGCCTTCGAAGAGCTAAATGTATTGGTCATAAGGTACTTGCATTTCTTTCCATTGATACTTGTTCAAGTTCTGGTTCATGGGTATTCCTTGTTATATTAAAAAATATGTAATTAGCTCTTTATGCATGTCAAAGATGAAAACTTTAGCTTGTTAGGTGTGGCTGAGTGAAGTTTTGTTAGCTTGTCATTCCTGCCAAGGCCAGTTTTGTATTAATTGATGTTCCCTGAATTGAGAGGGAAAATTCCAGATTGAGGATGTAACAAAGAAATATGTGGCTTGTTACTTCACCTATTACCAATTGGTTCTACGTTGGATTCAAGCCTTGACAATAGAATTTATATTGATAGTATGGTGTGTTTTTTGGTAGTAGAAATACAGAAGCTATAGCTCAATCAATTTTGCGATTTTATCTTACAAGAAAGAGCTATAGATTTTTGATTGATTGTGGAGAACTTATGCTCTAAACAATGAGCATATTGTGGACTCGCAGGATATTAACTTCTTGGCTCTTGCCATTATCTCATTATTGTACAGCAACATAATACAGAGCTGGTTGTGAGCATGGTCAGGCAGCAGTTTAAAAGACATATGCATGAGACAGATCCAGTCATCCAGAGAAGATTCAGTAATTAAGGGATGAGTGAGTTCAGTTTGCCTTGTTTCACAAACCTTTTTCTTTCACACATAACATATCAAGGGAATAAAGGGGGACTGAATTAACCTGATGTCAATGGTAGTATTTTGCATGGTTTTCTATAACTAGCATGCTGTTATTTTGGATTGGAAGTTCAAACATTATCTGGCCATTTTAATTTGATTTCTGGTAACCATATACCAATATTCTTTCTTTTTTTTTCCCCCCCTTTTTTCCTTTTTTTGCAGTGCGGCAAGGGGGCTTATAAACCACATGCTATATGAGTCTGAGAAGGTGTCTGGACGTAAATTTAGCAAGAGCTCTTGATGTTGTTTAGAGTATCTCTTTCCTTGGATGATAAACCGATTAACCAAGTAATAGAAGGTACAGTGGGGCTTTCTTTTTGTTTTGGCACCTGCTTATTGTTCTTCTTCTCAGTGTAGAAGCATCCTGACAAAACTTATCACATGCATTGAGCTATGGAAATCAACCACGCGCAGATTCTCCCCTTTCTCATTCCTTTTAGTGAAGTAGAGATGAGTTAGAAATTTTAAACACCATTATAGTATAATATAATTTTGCTTGCTCAGATCTTTAAGTTAAAATGGGAGTTCTGCATGATTAGGTAAAGCTTTTATGCTGAGAATGTTTTGGGAACCCTTTTGTTACCTCTCAATTTATGCCCAAACGTGCTTGCTACAATACCAAAAAAAGGGTTTATTTCTTTCATTACTCTCTGATGTTTGTCGGACTCTGTTTTTCTTTTCCAGGTAAGTTTCCATCTAACTGAACGTCCCTATGATCCACAGAGTGAGCTACAATCTTATAAAGTGAAATGCAATCCACAGGTCTACAATCCCTGAAAAGAAAGTTACAAATTAATTGCTGTTAACAGATCTTCTTGCGTAAAATGGACGGTTTATTGATTTATATCATCCACAGACCACTATCAAGAACTTGGGGACAAAGAACTAAACTAAATTCACTGAACTACAACAACCAATGCCTTCTCTTCTCGGCAATTTTACAAGTCTTGGTGAAGTTCATGAATTATACAAGATTAATGTCTATCCAGTTCTTCCTAAATTTGATGGTCTTGCTTCTCCAGTTCTTGGACTGACTGGTCGTCTGGCCTTATTTTGAGGACTTTGCTCCTCTCGCAACCCACTTATTGGGGGCTGCTCTCCTCCTTGTCCAACAAGCGGGGACTCTGAAGGGATGGTGTGGCAGTGCCGCTTGCATTTTTAAGATTGCACATTCGCCGCATTTCACCCCTGCTGCGGGTAATCATTCCATCTAAAATCTCTCCACCATCTGCAAATGAAACAGTGCCGGTAACTAGCTCTGTCTCCTGCTGTAGAAGTAGAACCATTAACCATCAGAAATATGAACTGGAATGGGTTGCCTTATCCTTGAATTGGATGTTACACTAAGCTTAATTCTTTCCATCAAATATCAACAAGAAAATAGAATTCGTTTCACTTTTAAATGAAAGAGTTTAGATGATGAATAAGGAATGAAGAGAATTGTAGGAACTTACAGCTGCCAGGTTGAATGGTAAAGCTGGTGCCGCCTCTTCATATGCTGCAGCATCCAGATCTCGGAGGTGTTCTCCCTTGAAAAACTTGGGCAAAATGTATTGTCTCACAGGAACCAATAGCATAATCATCAATGGGAAAAGAACCCCAGCAATTGGAATCCATGTAATTCCAAAACAGACTAGCAAGTAGACAGTCTGGAAAAGTGTAAAAACTGCAATTGTCTTGAAAGGCACAGTCTCCATGAAGGTCGAATGGTAGTCCCCTAAGACTCTGAAATAAATTTTAGAGTTAAAAAAGCTTGGTTAATATATCAACATCAGTGACATGGAAAATGAAGAATAGGTGTTAAGAAGTTACTTGTATCTTCTGCTTGGTGCTGTGAAGAGCAACAATATCCGCTCCCAAAACTGGTTACCCGGCAAGCTTTCAATGGCCATGAAAGCAAAATAACCCCAGAGCACTGAGGTTGGGATCATTTTAATGAAAGGCATGGCTGCAACACATCCTCCTACTATTATAGCTTGAAGCAAGTTACTTAGCCTCTGTTCTTTTACCTCAACTGGCAACAAATCATCAATTTCCTTCTCAACATCAAATACAGTTTCATCAACTGGAGCATCACCCATGCTCAAAGCCATTTGAATAGTAGACTCTTTCAATTCCTTCAGACCCTGTTTGGAGAACATCTGGGGCTTTAGACTCAGTTACACCATTATCAACACAAATCAATCTGTATGTATAGCTTCCATACATAATTTGATCAGCAATAGCAGATTTTATCCTAAGGGTAGTCATAAATAAGATATGGATTATGAAGTTAGATACCTGAGCAGAAGGTTCCTGGTAAATCAGTGGGGTCTGCATATGCCGATAGGCTTCTTGCATGCTTCCATAAACTTCTCCCAGGCTAGTATTATTGCGCATACATTTGTGTGCTGTTGCCACAAGTTTATTCCGAAGCAACTGCAAAAAAAATACACATCTTTGTGAAAAACTATATGGTTAATTTAGCATGCCTGAATTATATCCTTTTTTAAGATTCAAAGACATCTGTTAGTGTATTATAGGTTAACAATAAGATCCATGTATAGCTGATAAAAAAAAAAAAAAAAGATGCATGTGATTCATCAAAAAGAAAGGGAGGTTGTCACATTATTTCATGATTCGTTAGCAATAGAAAGCTTGTACGTGGTTGGCTTTGGCTACCTGGTGCTTCAGTGTAGCTAAGCTTTTAGTATGCATAGGAGATTGTGGAATGACACCGTTTGATGGAGGGATGCCAATAAGACCGCATAATATTGTCTGCCATGCAATTATTTTAGATGCATTACTAGAATCAAGCTTAATGCAGGATATATATCATACTGTGAATTTAAAGGGAAAAAATGGAAGTACACAGTAAAAGGGAAAAAGTATTCATAAAAGTTCATGTACCAAAAACCCCAAAAGCAGTAAATCATAATGGAAGGAAGGTGGTTTTCGCAAATTGAATTCCTTTTGCTGAGCAAGCTGAGATGCTACACTGTGATCAAAATAATACAGAACTGCTAACGTTGTTGCTGGAATGAAAGCTCCAATGATATACAGAACCGGAACATTTAACATGTCCTGTCAGTTTAAGCATTATCCATTAAATTCCTTTTCTACAAATTATACCATTTAGTAAAACATAATAGGAAAAGACCATAAATTAAATTCTTAGATGATATAAGTGCACACTGAATGATGCTTAGTTACCTTAATGACAGTCCAATTTTCATAAGCACCAGGTGACCACGGATTTGGACTAAAGAGGCGCCTTGGAATTCCTTTGGGAATACTTCCTGCTGGTATATAAGAAACTGCAGTCCAGACCAGAACCATCAATGGCACACCATAATCTGCTATAAAGCCTCGCAGCAACCCTTGTAGAGGTTAAAAGCAAAAGACACAAGTTAGGTAATACCATTTACAGTATGAATAGAACAAGTTTGTAAAAATAGCAGCTGATGTACTTACCAGATCCATACCTCCATGCTCTTGCTTTTCGGCTCCTTAATGCAGTAAGCAAAAGGCCAAATGATAAAATCAAAGCAAACATCCCATTTGCAAACCTCCAGGAGGGTTGAAACTCAATTGACTTAGGATTTTCTCTTTCAGGTATCCAAAACTCATTAACAAGTCCCTATAAAGCCAATTCTATAGATTAAAAATCGGAAACTTATTTAACAGGGCAGCTAATCAGCCAAGGCATTTTTGAGAAACAGAAGCAAAAAATGGAATGCCTGTCATCTAATTTTGAACTCAATTCATTGTCAACTAATGAATTATTTGGTTAAAAATTTTAGAACTAGAGATTTAGAAAAAGGCAATTTTGTTTGTGCCCCTCAATTTTCACTTAGGTTTGCCAGTATAAAAAAGAACTATCTTACTTTGATAGCTTGCTGCATGAAAAGCATTGCAATTAGAAGGCCAAACAACTCTCCAGCTAGACGAGTAAACCTATTGATGATGGAGCAAGCCCCAAAGATAGCCAAAAGGAATAGCAAGATTGCAGTCCACACACATATCCTGCATGTCCAAGTTGCAATCAATTCTTTTTACAAATACAACTAAAAACACTTGGTAGTCCAACACTAAGTGGCCTAGTAGCCATACCCCTTTGATGGGGAGGTGTTAGGGTATAAAATCCTGGGTTCTACACCCAAGCACTACTAATTCCCCACCTCCAAAAATTCTTTTAAATTCGAAAAATAAAAATAAAAACTCTTGGTATTATATACGTCTAAAATCAATCATATCATCATGTTCATCTGCTCGTAAGAAGCAAAGAAGATACCATCCACTCCATGCCAGGAAGAGCTTTGATCCCAAATCTGGTCTACTTTTAGCAAAATTGAACATAAAAGTGTACATGATTACAGTTGGCTCTGCAACTCCAAGAATCAGCAAAGGCTGACCTCCTATGATAGAGTGTATAATTCCACATAATGCAGTGGAGGCTAGAGTTTGAACTGCTGTGAGAACCCCATCTGTCAATATACAAGAACAAACAAGAACAAAAAGTAGTTAAGACCCTACACATGTAATGGAAAATTTTAAACGAAGATGCATCGCAATTCTTTTTGTAGTATTTACCTGTGTCCCTTTCCAGCTGTTCTCCGAATGAAATAACTGGAATTGCAGATGCAAAAAATATGTAGGTGGTGGGGGCTAAAATCCTATAAAAATTAAAAAATTGCAAAGATACCATAATTTTCTATCATGCCAAAGT